CTGGGAGAGCAGGTGGGGGATGGGGCTTGTTTGATTCGGAAATTTGGCCGATTCGGCAGCAGCTGAATCTCCGAATCAGATTCAGCCAAATCGATTTGGGACAGTGATTCAAATCACCAAATCGAATCACTGGCCCCCGAATTGGCCGAATCCAAATCCGAAGTGAATAACTGCTGCTACACACAGGCCTAATATTGATTACTGTTTGTGTAGAACTTTTGAAAATATAAAGCATTTTGAATGCTTCTTAGCTGCACATTTGTTTAAAGAGCGGTATAAACCCATATGATAGTTTTCTTTACAACATAAACAACAAGGACTCCAACACAATTTTTGTCATGCAACAGTCTTGGCAGAAGTGAAGAAGACCTGCCCTTTCTGGGTGCTGATTCATGTTTATGCAGCTCTATTTGCATCAGGAAGAACTGAAGACAGTATATAGTCCTAAACAGTTAAAAGCTTTGGGAGGCTTACAGGACACACAGATACATCCTGTTCTGTGCACCAGACTGTGTATTTTTGAGCTTTTATACTCATCTGTTAATGTTTTATTTGAATCTTTGTCTTTAACATTTGTTAGGTGGTTTTCCGGGCAAAACGTGGTGTCAGTTATTTGGGAGATGTGGCAGTCGATGATATTTCCTTTGAAGACTGTTCCCCTTTGCTCATCCCAGGCAGACCCTGCACTTCAGAAGAATTCACATGTGCCAACAAGCACTGTATCCCGAAGGATAATCTGTGTGATTTTATGAATGACTGTGCTGATAACTCAGATGAGAGCCCTAACATTTGCAGTAAGTATGGCAGTTCTTTAGTCTAATTATGATAAGTAACTGTGCCTGCTGTGAATTGTTAATGCTTCAATTCTGTTGGCAGCTCGTCAATGAAGAAACCAAAATGAAGTTAATAATTTAATTATATTCCTTGAGTCAGTTGTTTTTTTTAATTTAATTTTAAATCACACATAGAAAAATAAAATGTGCCGTTGGTAGGTTTTGAAAAACATTAATTCAGTGAACAGTGCCTGTTAGAGCACAACAGAAACATTATGTTTTTCCACATGAAAAAAGCAAAGCAAAAAAAAAGTCAGGCAAAATACTTCAGGGATATAGGGAGTCTCACTTGCTTTAATGTTTCAGGCATTGTCAGGTCTCTCTGCAAACTGTTTCATCTTGAATACCGTACAACTTTAGTTGTACAGCTGATATCAAAAGGTACGACCGGTAGTCTAAGATTCAGAGTTGTACTTCATATCAAAAGTGTGCTTCTCCAGAGCATTGGACAACAGCATACTGTATTTTAATAATACAACAGCTTCTTTCTTCAGGAAACACTTGATAAATGCGCAGTGAGCCAATTCTGTATCATTTGGTACAATACAGACATCTGTCTCATTGTAAGGGTCATGAACACAACTCATCCAAAAATAATTATGACAGAGGAGTAAGCACTGAGCCAAGTCCCCACCCAGTCTAAATCTGTGTAACTTGATTTATGTCAGTTGGGCATATATATCAGCTAAGGATCAGGCCTGCTATGTCTGATTATAAAACTGATAAACACTTGCCTTCATTTCCAAAGCCAACCAGCAACACACATGCCCCAAGTGTCCCACAGGTAGGGGACAAGTGACACAGTGACAGATAGGGCAAGGACCAGGAAGCAGAGCAACAAATTGGGCAGGGGCACAGGGCAGAGATCAGAAAACAGAGCTGCTGATTGGATGGGGAAAGGGGATTGAAGTAGTACACAGGGAGGGGCTAATTTGTAGCATGCCTGCCAAAAAAAGTTGGCCTCCACTGGTCTATAGTGTGGGTACAGATTCTGATCTCATGCCTCTGGAAGTCAGGAGTAGATCTGACTGGAAACTGTAATTTCCATGTTGCATGTGTCTGATCTGTTGATGCTTGTTTTATTTCTAAACAATTCCAAATAGCAATCCCCCCCGGCCCAATAAATAAATAAATAAATTGAAAGTTCTGGAAAAGTAATAGTTTGTGAAATAATGAAACTTTTTTTGGAAGTAAATATTTTTTCAGTCAAAATGTAAAATGTCAACATTCCCAAATCAAGTTTTAAGTATATTTTTAAGCCAAATAAATACCAAGTTTTGTTACAACTTGGTTTCATATTGAACTTTCTCTGTTCTGGAAGGAGATTTTTGGGTGCTTGATGTTCTTTGAATGGGCCACACATCCTGGTGAGGCTGCTTCACTCTTGATGCACTACCAGTCCTCAGTCACATGTGGGATAGTGAGGCAACATCAGAGAAGTGGTCCAGATGGAGAGCCCAGAACACCAAAGTGAATGTGGAATGGGGATGTTAAGCACCTGAACATTAAAGCTGTGAGGAACAGCACCATTTCGTTTCAACTTCTGTTTCAACAGGACAGTATTTTGTTTCAAGTTTTATTTAATTTTGAAAGCACTGTTCTTTTTCGTTTCGTCAAAATTGTTTCAACATTTCGTCCATAGGCTATAATGGGGAAGCACAAAACTACCTAATCCTTTGTAATTTCTTGCCTGATTCTGTTGAAACTTGCAGAAATGATAGCCCCTTCTGAAGCCGTGAAGCCTGCCAAGTTTCAAAGAGATAGATGCAGGCATTTCAGGGAAACTGCACCTCAAAGTCTTGAAAGCAAAACTCGTGTTGTGTGTGTGTTAAGGTTCAGTGGGGTGAGAACTGCAGGGATGGTAGCTCCTGCTGAGGCTGTGAAGCCTTCCAGGTGCAGGGGTTTCTGGGAAACTACATTTCAAATCATTCAGAGCAAAACTTGTGTCACTTGTAAGTGTGAAAGCCAGAGAAACCTCAGTTCAAATAATGCTTTCTATCCTGTTTTTCTGTCCCTCCCCCAGAGCACTGGGATTGGAAAGGACCTCAGGGAAGGATCACAGTCACTGGCTGACTACACAGTCAATATCAAAGCAGTCCTTCCCCCCCTTTCCCTTCTCTCTCCCCCTCCTTAGTTTCTCTTTAGCTGCAAGCAAGCCCAACTTCGAAACTTGAAATGTTTTGAAACTTTCAAAACGTTTCCACTGCCTTCATTTTGTTTCAAGGTTATTTTGAAGCCTTTCATTTTGTTTTGATTTTGGTGTTTTGAGCTCAAAACAAGTTGAAACAGCTTAGAAACAAAACAGCCGGTGCCCTACTGAAGATTTCAGACTTGTGTGAGGCACAGCAGCAACTCAGACAGACTCGAGATAATGTTGAGCTGATCCAAAACAAAGTGTTTCAATCAGTTTGATCAAATGAACTGTGGTTTGCAATGACCAATCCCAGTTCAACTATTTCATTTGATTGCCAATTTAAAATAAAAAATATAGCAAAATTGAAATTTTTCCATGGAAAAATGTTGTGGAAAATGCATTTTCTGTTTAAAAAGCAAAATAAATGAACCGAAAAGAAAATTAAAAAAAAAATGGATTGTTCCTAGCCAGCTTCAAACAGGAAGAATTCCACTATTTCACTTAAGGTCAATGTATTTATTCTGCAATGATACAAAGAAGAAGACCTGGCATCCAACCCATCCTTTGAGTTTCTATAGCAATGTTAATTTAGCCTGGTACATTCATGGTTCAGTTCTGTACAACTTTTTCATAGTTAAGTATCTGAGATCAGATAGTGCTCTGTCTCCTCTGATTTAGCAGAACCTTATTCCATGTTATAGTAATTTTAATGCAGTTATTTCAGAAATTTTTAGTATAATGTGTTATTTTCTATGAAGCATTAAAGTACTTAAATCAAATCCTTTCTCTTTTTTGATTGTTATTTTCCAGTAAGGAAATGAAAGAACAGCTAGCTATAATATTCCAATAAAAGAATGATGGACAGTAATATGTCTCCTGTGCCTCCCTGTTCCTTCTCAAACTGGACATAATATTTATGCAATAGTCCTAATGTAACTTGTCCTGGTACCAGGGGCTCCTAGTCCCTTTATTACTCCCTGTTATAGAATTAGTCAGAACGTTCAGTGATAACAGATTAAATTCTTAGACTGAAGCTAGAATCCGGAGGCCTCAGAAGCTGTTTCTCATAAAATTATCTTTTAAAAAGCTGCTTTTAAAAATACATAAATTGCAACCCCTTCACTCATTTAAATCTTGGCCACTAGACTGAACAGCAGATGCATGAATCCACAATTTAATTTTCCTTTGAACTAAACTGGAGGACCCTGTAGTCAAATCTAATCTGCAGAGTGCAATAAATAGTTCATCAGCTTGCTTCTGCTCTCAGTAAATTTCTATGAATATATAACTTTTTATATTCCCTTCTCATATTTTAAAATTTGGTCCCCAGATCAAAGACATAAGCTTTAGCAGCTACAAGTTAATCAGGGCTGCATGAAAAAGATGAGACAATATCTAAAAATATTTCCTCAAGAAAGTTTTCCCCTTTGTGGAAGTGGTGAACAATTAGTGGAAATGTCATGTAGAAGTTACATTCTGATCTTTTTTTTAATCTCACTTTGGATAGAAATGGCATTAATTATTAATAAAGTTTAGATTTTTTTTGAAGACAAGTTCCAAAAGGAAAAGAATAGAAAATACTTACCCACATTTCTAATTCTGTGTACTCATTTTAACAGTGCATAATACAATGCATAAGTTATGCATCTGGCTTGACCCTGTTCCCATTCTTGAGACACAACCATAAATCAACTTCTAATATTGCTGACAATATACGTTACAACCAAGACGGCTTTTGTTTTGGGAAAAAAATGGCAGTGAATTTGGTAGTAATGAGAGGGAGGGCCTTAAAACATTGTATTCAGTTTAGCATAAGGGCATAATCTAAGCAGCCATTTCAGAAACTTTCCCACAAGTATCTCACTGTGATAGTTACCACAGGATGATAACTCCTTCTGCAGTCTCAGTTTTGAATTGAGACTCTAAGTATGATAGATTGATGGTTTTGTGGTGATAAAAAAGTATTCAGTAAAACGCGTGCTAAAATTAAAAAAAAAAAGTCATTTTCAATTATTCGTTCAGGTCATCAGAAGGAGGAGAGGAGTACTTATTTTGTATTCTGTTAGTGCCCCAAGATTCTTTATCTCATAGTTGATAATTCAGTCTTTCTTCCACATAAACCAAAGTAGGATGGTCATTTGTATTGCTCACATTTAGGATTGATGGTTTTGGATTGGCATTGATATGGTTTGGCAGAAAGAAAATTCCCATCATTTTGAAACATTCACTAAAGTAAGAAGAAAAGCAGTCCAGATTTTTCACTTTGATCTTGCTGTTTCTATAAATATTTATGGTTACAAAAGATGTTGGGTTCCATTATTATTACAGTGCTTAGGCTTATGAAGTACTTATTCTACTCAACCCTTCTTATGGACAATAATAAAGGTTTTGTGTTCATGTCATAATCCAAAACTGACTTCTGATTGTGAGCCTGTTTCTATGTTTGTGTTGTGTTAGACCAGGGGTGGGCAAAATATGGGACTCCATCCCATCTTCCAGGTTGTTGAAAATATTGAACAAAACTGGCCCCATGACCAACCCCTGGGACACTCCATTTAATACCAGCTACCAACTAGACATTGAGCCATTGACTACTAGCCTTTGAGATTGACAAGCCAGCCTGTTTTCTGTCCACCTCACAGACCATTCATCTAACCCATGCTTCCTTAGTTTGCTGGCAACAATGTTGTGGGAAACCATATCAAAAGCCTTGCTAAAGTCAATCTGCATCACATCCAATGCTCTCTCCACATCCACAGAGCCAGTCATCTCATCATCATGTTGGCCAGACATGACTTGCCCTTGGTGAATCCATGCTGACTGTTCC